AGGCTTCAGACAAAACCTGTTTATTCCTCACCCTGTGTCGGCTCCTTCCCTCGGGAGAGCCAGGAAGGATGCCACACCAAAGCAGGTGCACCCAGCTCAGGTATGCTGGTCTCAGCAGCCCCTGGGGCACCTAATCTCCAGATCTTCCCTACTCCCCTGTAACGAGGCTTTTGTTCCGGCTCACTTTTACTAGGCAGGCAGCACTCCAGCCCCTTTGCAATAAATCCATCTAATCCTTCAAAATGGAATCTGTTCTCTCTGGTGGTTTTTCTCCTTTCTTACCACCCTTCACCAGGTGAAGGCTTTCCACCTGTTGTCTGTTTCAATGTACTCTGGACCACAGCTGGAGGAGTCAGGAGCAAAAAAAGCCTGCACCTGGATTCCTGGCCCTGTATCAGGGACTTGAATCGGGGCCCAGGAAGCTGACCCTTTCCCTAAATTCCCTCTGTCCTTCTAAACCAAACCAAACACACAAGGGAAGCGGGTGGGGGGAACCTACTTAAAAAACAACAACAAATTCAGCAAACACAGTCCCATCACCCAAAATATTGAAATGGAAAACAAATGCTTTCCCTGGAGAATTGGTCTGAAACATACCAGGGCTGGCATTGGGCAAGGTGGACAGAAATGTGCTAGTCTGAGAGAATCTGTGACCCTGCAGAGGAAGAAGCTAACATTTTCCAAATGACACCATGGCCAGATAACAGCCGCATACACATCCCGCACTGTTGTTTCCTAAACCTGGGAGTAGGGTTGGCCATCTTGACCTGACTCCTCTCTCCAGCAACCCCTCACTCTGAAAATCACAAAAGTGTGACTTCTCCTCCATCCTGATGGTCTCCAGCCTCAGGTGGGCTGCTTCCAAGGCTGTGAGCAGGTAACCACTCCCCACCTTGAAACCCATACCTATCTCCAGCTCAAAAACACATTGTTAGTCTTGAAAGGACAGAGTGAGACATACTAGGGTAAGGATGCACTGGAATTGCACCTGGACACACCAGCCTATCAGCCTCAAAATTTGCTCCTATGGGTAATTCTATAAATGTGGCAGCTCAGAACCACCTGGAGCCCCTATTAAGTTCCCTCCTTTAACTGCCTAGAGCATCAGGAGTGGCTCGAGGAGAGATGAAGAGGAGCAGAATGCCTCAGCATCACCCAGGTGATGCAGGAGATATGGGAGATCCAGCTCCTTCCTTGAGTCTAAGATTCTGGGTTTTGGTTTTGATGTTTTAGAGGAAAACTGAAGGCAATGCTTCTGAAGTGTTTAACATGCATGTGAATTACCGGGGGGGGGATCTGTTTCAAGCCGGATTCCAATTTCTAGGTCTGGGAGGGGCTGGAGAGTCTGCATTTTTAGCAAGCTCCCAGATGAGGCTGACGTTGCTGATACACAGCCCCCCTTTGAGTAGCAAGGACCTAGGTTCTAGGAGATGAGGACAAATCAGTGCCAGAGATGGCCAAGATGAGCCTGGTGCCCGGACAGAAAAGCAGAAAAACAATGGTACACACACGTAGAACTAGAGGCTGGGAACAGAGAAAGACACAGTGACAAAAAACAGGACAGAGAAAGGACAGAGTCAGAGAAACAGGGAAGGGCAAAAGCAGAGAAATCAAATGAGAGATGGGTGAGGCATAGGGCCAGAGAGACTGACAAGAGTTGGGGCAGAGAGAAAAGGCAAAGTAATGGGATTGGGTAGAGGCTGGAGCCAGCCGTGGCCACCCAGACTCCTGACAAGCAGTGAAGGGGCTCAGAGATCTGAGTGGGCCAAGCCCCACAGTGTGGCAGGTACACAGATCTGAGACCCCCACCCTCCAAACCTTCCAGCCTTCCCACACCGGTACTGCCATCTCCTTGCTCCTGTAGAACCATCCCCCGCTCAGAGCCTCCCACTACTGATTTCCCCCTTCTCTCTCCTGTGTGTTCAACCTCTACCTTTGAACTGCACCCTTCTCAGCAGGTTTTAAACATTGTCACGTCTTCCCCATCTAAAACAAACAAACAAAACAAACAACTCTTTCTTGACAACATATCTCTTTCTAGCCCCTGTCTGATTTCTCTCTGTTTCTGAGCTAAACTTCCAGAAAGAATTTGTGCTGAATTCTGCCTCCATCACCCTCTCCAAAAAGCTCTGGGGGAGGCCACGGTTGGTGCATGAGTTGTAAGTCCAGGGGTCAGTTTCTAGGCCTCATTCATTTGTCTCTAGCAGCTTTTGGTCCTCTTGATCGCTCCCCCTGCTTTGCCGGCTTTCGGGATGTGCCACTCCCCTGGTTTCCCTTTGCCTGCTCCTTCTCTGACTCCTTGGCCTACTGACCCTCCGTTATCTGAGCTTTATCCTTGGAGGGCTGCAGAGCTGGGTCCTGAGACTTCTCTTTACCCAGGGCGCTTCCCAACCCACAACCCCAAGGATCTTCTCTATAGCAGCCGGCATTCCAGCTCAGATGTCCCCTGTGTGCTCCAGGCCTGCATTTGTGGCAAGGCAATGTCTACCTTGACATTTCCTTGCTGGGAAAGATTGAACACAGGAGGAGAAGGGGACGACAGAAGATGATATGGTTGGATGGCATCACCGACTCAATGGACATGAGTCTGAGTAAACTCAGGGAGTTGGTGATGGACAGGGAGGCCTGGCGTGCTGCAGTCCACGAGGTTGCAAAGAGTCGGACATGACTGAGCAAAGGAACTGAACTGAGTGTCTACCAACCACTGTCACCAGGACATCTCATTGGTTTCTCAAATTCAACTTGGTCAAAACCAAAGTTTTGTTCTTTCTCTTCCTGAACTGGTCTTCCTCGTGGATTCCCCATCTCAGAACACAGCATCATCCTCTGTCTGGAAGTCTGAGCCAGAAATGGGGACTTAGTCCTTGACACCTCCCTCTCCTTTCTCCCCTTGTCCATGTCCAGTTTATCACCAAACTCTGCCAACTTTGCTCCCCAAATACCTCTGACTTTGTCCTCCTGTCTCCATTACCACTGTCACCTTCACCAACACGTCACCTGGATGACGACGGCCTCCCAAACAGCTTTTTGAAAACCTGTCTTCTATACCACAGCCAGTATGCTCAGTCTTTCAAAATTTGCAAAACTTCACATCTGATCATGCTGGCTTGCTGCTTAAGTCTTCAGCAGCTTCCTTTGGCTCTGAGAATAGAGTCCCTACTCTAGGTGGACCTTTCTGGAAACATCTCACCTCCCTTGCCCTCCAGGCCTCCCAGCTATATTGGTTTTCTTTCAGTTCATTGAACACCAAGCTCCTTTCTGCCACAGGACATTTGCATGTTCTGTGTCCTCAATATAGGACTATGCTGTCCACTATGGCTAGCAAGCACTTGAAACGTGGCCAGCACAACTGAAGAATGTAATTGTTAATATAATTTCAATTAGTTAAATTTAAAAATGTTAAATGTATTCAATTCAGCTATCAGAAAATATTAATCTACTCTTTAAACAACTTGGGTATGTGGTAGGCGAATCTACTTTTTAAAAATTTTTTATTTCAGCTGTGTTGGGTCTTTGTTGCAATGCACAGGCTTCTCATTGTGGTGGCTTCTCTTGTTGTGGAGCACAGGCTCTAGGGTGTGAGGGCTTCAGGAGTTGCAGTGCATGGGTTCAGTTGCCCCATGGCATGTGGGATCTTCCTGGAACAGGATTGAAACCATATCCCCTGCATTGGCAGGCAGATTCTCAACCGCTGGACCACTAGGGAAGTCCTGAATCTACTCTTTAATTTGAATTTTTATTCAATCTAAATACATATCATGTATTTCTGGTGAAAATTTAGTGTCTGAATTGATATGCTGTAAAGGGTAAATATATACACAGAATGTTGAAGACAGTTTAAAAAAAGAACATAAAAGAGCTCACTAATAATTTTTTATGTTGATTACATGTTAAAAAGACAACAGCTTGCATACATTTGGTTAAATATAAGATAAAATGAACTTCACCTGTTTCTTTTTACTCTTTAAATGTGGCTACTAGAAAAGTATTAAATTAGATAAGTGGCTCACTTTGTATTTCTATTAGACAGCACTGGTCTAAACACCATTCCTTGTCTTTGCGTTAACTCCTCTTCATCCTTCAGAGCTTAGCTCAAATGTTACCTCTTCTGAAAAACTTCCCTGAGATAGCTTTTATTTTTATTTATTTTTATTTACTTTCATAGCTATGTGTGTGTTTCAGTGGTTGTCTGCCTTTAACTACACCCATCTATAACTACACATTTATTGGAAGGATTGCTTGATTCACGCCTGTACCCCACCAACCCCTAAGCTCCACGAGAGCAAGGCCCCTGTCCAGCTCCCCCCTGGAAACCAAACATCCTTCCAGAGCTTGGTGACCAGATGGCTGCCAGTGGACACTTCAGAATGACAAGAAAGGATTCCATCTACTCTTTTGCCATCCACCCCACCACTGGGGTCCATTGGTCCCCAGCCATCTCAGGGTCCTGGACACTCCCTCCCACTAAAGTGCCATGATAACCCTTCAGTATATAGATTCTACCGCTCCCAGATGGGAAGTCTTCCTTTAGAGCTGACCAGGATCTTTCCTGCTGCAAGCTGGCCAAGACCTCTATTCCATCCTTTGAGGGAATGAGAGTGGTTCTTCTCAGGCTTGAATGTACATGCCAGTTACCTGGAACCTTGTTAAAATGCAGGCTCTGGTTCATCAGGTCTGGGATGGGACCTGTAAATTCTCATTTCTAACAAGCTGCCTGCTTGTAATGTTGATGCTGGTCCGCAGGCCACCCTCTGAGTAACAAAGATGTAAAGAATCTGGTTACTGCCCCGCTTATCGCCCCCCCCCCCAATTTTCCTGCTGTTCCAGAGCCTCTGTGGAGGAGGCCAGCAGGGGTCTCTTAAAATTCAGCCCTGTCTCTTCTGCTTTCCTATGCACTCCACCAAACCCTGTACCCAGAAAAGAAACGTAGTACCTGTGGCTACTGTGGTCAGTTGATTTTCAGTTTTAATTTGAAATAAACCTTTAAGCAGTTTTCAGAGTCAGGAAAGCCCTGATATGAATGTGTAACAGTACTCTCCAAGGATAAAGTCATACAGCTGGAGATGCTGACCAGTCCTCAAGCTTTGGCTGCTGTCTGCCACGCAGGCTGGTCCTAGGAACTCCTCCAGAAGGTTCCACTCTGCAGAGTCTGGGCTTGGATGCTGGTCAACATTCTCTCTGATGCGTCCACTGGTTGCATCACAAACCAAGTGTGTGCCTCTTGGACCTCTGAGGGGCAGAGATGACCCCTCTGCCTCCCCGCCCTGCTCACACAGTGATGTCTGAGGGACAGAAGTGTCTTCCAGTAGCCTCGATGTGTGTGTGCGCGTGCGTGCATGCATGCACACCTTTGCACGTATGTCAGTTACCTGTTTGGACATGGGGTCTGTGTGCATGTGTCTGTGTGTTCCTGTATGTATGGAGAGGGTGTGTAGCATTGCCCCCAGTGCTCAAGTTCAGTGAAGCTCTCATCACACACAGCGGCACTGGACTCCTTCCGCATGGACCGGGAGGCTGAACAGGGTCCCTAGGTGGGCCCCGTGGAGGTGACCGGCCCCACTGTCCCTTGCTGCTGCTGCTGGCCTTTGCGTCTCCGAGCGCCGGTGCCCGCCTCCTTGCTCTCCTTGCGGCCGGGGTTCCTGTTGGCGTTCTCCCGCCGGCTCTGGCCGCCCTTCCTCCTCTTCTGCCCTGGAACCCCAACAGCAGGAAGAGTCAACCAAGGGCATCCTGACCCAGCAGGAGGCCCTGGGCAAGGCCAAGAGCGGGAGGAGTAATGCGGTCAGGAAGCGGGGCAGGGGGGGCTGGGGAGGAGGCCCAGAGGCGGTCGGGGTACCCTCCAGGCCTCCTCGGACCAGCGGGCACTGCACCAGGGCTCTGCAACATGGGTACTGAGGGGGGTCCCACATGAAGCTTTTCACTCTCCACCTGAACAGAACCGGCTCCTCTTTCCTCACGTTTCCTCAGACCTTGGATCCCAATGGCCCGAGGCATCTCCCAACCAGTCACTGCAGCTCTGGGGACAGGCAGGACGGCTCCCCACGCCTCCATCCCACACCACTGCCACATCATTGCCACGGGCGGGCTGTGTGACCTCGGCTAAATCACTGCCCCTCTCTGGGCCTTCGCACTCCACTTCCAAGCTCCCCTTCTAAGGGCCGGTCCGGTGCCAACATCCCCTGAATCAGAAGCAGTGGGGAGGGATGGGACCACACAAGCTTCCCGCCACCCCACGCAGCTGCGGGCATCCCTGTCTGCCTGGCACGGGTTTGCACAGCATGGGGTCCTGAGTTGAGGATGCCTCATCTGGCCCTGGCCCGAGCACTCTTCTGGGTCACAGGTAGGAAACAGAGGTGATCAGACCTTCCGTAGCTGACCCCTGACCCCCAGGCCGCAGCTCACCCTCCGGACAGGGCGTCCTCCGCACCGTGCACCTCCGCGTCTCCTTGGTGTCGGAGCATAAGGCGTGGTCTCCCCCGGGGGCGTGGAGCACCCTCCGTGTCCGCTCCTCCAAGCCCCTCCTGAAGCCACAGAGCTTCTTCTTCTTGGAGCAAGGCCCCCACAGAGACCACTCACTCATTTCACATTGTGCTGGTGGGAGGGGAGGGAAGCAAGGGGAGGAAAGGGTCACGGTTCCTCACCTGGCCCCGGGGTGCGCCCCGGGGAGCCCCTCCCACCTGCTCTAGGTCTCAGCCCCAGGCCAGAGGCACCCTGATAGTCCAGAGGGCATAAAAGTCCCCAGAGAAACTCAGGGGGTGATGGTCATGAGCTTTCTCTGCGCGGAGCCCAGCCCACGCTCTCCCTGGGGGCCGCTCCCACCTGGGCCGCCCCTTGTCCGGCCCAGACCCTGCCGGCTTACCCGGGCTGCTGCACTCCATGGCGCCCTCCGCAGGCGCAGAGCCCTCGGGACAGGCGGGGTAGCAGCGGCCTTTGTGCAGGTACAAGCTCTCCTGACACTTGGTGCAGAAGTTGTGGCTGAAGCAGGCCTCGCAGTGCTCAATCTTGCATTCTGAGGGGAGGGCCAGACCGGGCGTGGGGCTTGGGGTGGGGCTGTGTCTCAGCCCCAGACGGACCCCTCCCCTCACCCCCGTGCCCACCCACCCACACAGGGCAGGACAGTGGCCTGGAGCTGCCACTACCGCAGTGGAGACTTGGCAGGGAGAGAGAGGAAAGCAAGAGGCAGGGAGAGAGGAGGCCAAAACAGCGCCTCCTGAGGGCCGGCTGGGACTCTTCCCACCCCCCGCTGCCCAACCCAGCACCCCCCCTGCAGGCCCGGGAACCCAAGGGGAGGCCCAAGAGAGCTGGATTCAGAGCACAGGAGATTGGTGGGGGCGAGAGGAGGCTCCTAGCGTTTCAGAGCACCCTAAGGACCACCTAATCAGAGCCAAACTGAGGGGTACAATGACACCCTGAGAGTGGCTGTGTGGCCTCCTCTTCCCCTACTGCTGGGCATCCACAACGCCCCAAAGCCTGGTTCTCCTCCTGCCCAGGGAAGCAAGAATCTGCCTGGAGGATGAGGAGCCATCCCGGGGCAAATTCCTCTGCCTCTGCAAGGTCGAGTTCCAGGAACCACCTTGGTCAGACTCCTGGGTCCCTCCCTGATGCCCTCCTGCCAGCTCTCCCTCCTGCGGGGAGGTGGGGGGTGAGGGCGGCTGGGCTAGGCTGGAAGCCGGAGGGGTCTTTCACAATCTCTCCCATCCCGGACTGTGGGCGGAGCTGACTTCCTCCCAGTCCCCTCCCCTGAAGCCCGTCTGCCAGTTTCCCAGGAGCAGGCATAGCAAGGAATGCCCTACCCAGATCCCCGAGGACCGAGAGGGCAGTCCTGGGGTCCCACCTCCATCCTCATAAGCTCCCCACCCCCACCCCCACCCCCCTCCTCTGTGCCTCCTGGCCTCTGAGTCCTGGGTTTGGTGGCAGGCAAAACACAAACAAAAATAAGAATAAGAGCTGCTCCATTTATTTTGTGCCAGACACTCAGGGCTGACATACGCCTCTCACAACAATCCTGGGGGTAAAAACGAACACCCACATTTTGAAGATGAGGTTTGGAGAGGCTACAACTTGCCCAAGGTCACACAGTGAACAAGCAGCAGAGTTGGGATTCAGAACCCAAGTCGGCTGAACTCCCCTCAGGCATTTCCCTGGGACCTTGATGTTATCAGCTATGAAAAGGGTACCATCAAAAGTGCTCGGGCCTGGTGCACTGGGAAGACCCAGAGGGATCAGGTGGAGAGGGAGGTGGGAGGGGGGACCGGGATGGGGAATACATGTAAATCCATGGCTAATTCATTTCAATGTATGACAAAAACCACTGCAATGATGTAAAGTAATTAGCCTCCAACTAATAAAAATAAATGGGAAAAAAAGAAAAGAAAAGAAAAGAAAAGGGTACCATCACTTAGGTCTGTCTCCCTCACAAGGTGCTTGTGTGGCTGAACCGATAGAAGGTCTGGACATGCATGCTAAACTCCAAGGCTCTGAACAAAATGAGAGGGTCACTGGCATTGTTTACGGGAGAGGGTTCACCACGTGGCCCCCAGCTGAGAGAGAGGTGTGACAGCACGCGCTTTGGGGCACGTGAAACTGTAGCTGGTGTGAGAGAGCAGAGCAGAGTGAGATGGGGGCTGGGGAGGATGGGGAGAGAAGGCTGACCGGGGCTTGAATTTCCCTGCAGTCAGTGGAGTTAGCAGCAATTTTTTTAGGTTACATGTCTCAGAAGCATCTTTCTGGCTGCAGGGCAGAGGGAGGGTCGAAGGGAACCAGATGAGGGTTGGGGGACAGATGGAGGTTATTGCAGTGGTCCAGGAAAGAGGGGATGGGAACCTGGATAAGACAATGGCAGTGAGGATGGAAAGGAGCTGGAGGAGGCACAATTTGGTTATTGATTGGCTAAGGTGGGGGCATAGATGAGAGGCTGGCTCTTAGGTCTGTGCCTGGGGTGATGGGTTGGGACACTGAGAGTCACCTGTGGGAACACAAGTCAGTGCAGGTTTGGAGGGAGGAGATACAGCTACGTTACGGGCTGGAAATGTGGGTGGGATGTCTGGGGAAATGTCTGGCCAGCAGTTGGATATTTGAATCAGGAGCTCCCCTCCTCAATATCTCCTCCACTCCTCTTGCAGCCTCATCAACAGTTCCAAGCACTTCCGCCCCATATCCAGAGTTTCCAGCACCCTTCCCCAGCCCTGCCCACACTCACTGATGCACTTGTTCATGTCAGGGTTGCGGGCATCAAAGTATCCAGGTGGGCAGGACGGCAAGCAGACACCCACTTGGCGGATGTCGTTCCTCTCCAGCAGGATGAACAGCTTGGGCGAGCACTTGAGGCAGCCGTTGACCTCCGAGCAGAGCTCACAGCCTTTGGCACAGGCCTGGCTTCCCTCGGTGCTGACTGCAAGGATGGAGCAAGGGTGAGAGGCAGCTCTGGGAGGGGTCTCTGTCTTTCCCAGGCTCCCACAAGGATGGAAAGTGAGTAGACAGGAGTTTCAGCCTACAGAACGAATGTGCTTCTCAGAAAGTGCAGGCCAGGCTAGCAGCTCTCTGCAAGGCTCCTTTATAGACCTTCCCAGCATCTGTTTTCAAGGGAACTAGCACAGCAAGAGCTGCCATCCACCCTAAATGCCCCCTCAGCTCCAGGAGCAACACAGGCTCACCCCCCAGACTTGCTCCACCATCCTCAGAGAAGGTGCTGAAGCCTGAAATTTACACAGCTCTGAGAAAATTTTAAGGACAAGAGGGATAATGAGAAAAAGGCCACCTACCCTGAAACAGGAAGACAACTGGAATAACCTATGTCTAGAACAGTGGTCTCAACCAGAGATGAGTCTGCTCCTCAGGGCAGCAGACTTTTTGGCAAAGTCTGGAGGCATTTTGGTAATCACACTGGGGAGGGGGTTGCTAGTGGCCTCTGGGAGACAGAAGCCAGGGATGCTGCTAAACATCCTACAATGTGTGGGGCAGCCCCCACAACAGCAATCTGGTCCAAGATGTCAAAGGTGCTGAGGTTGGAACCATCCTTTGAGCCAGTGAGGTCCCCTACCCCAGGGTTGAGTTTCAGACCTACGATCTCGTTTCCTCCTTCACTTGTTCAACCAACACTCACCTGGCCCCACCCAGGTACCACAAGCGGTGCCAAGTGCTAGGGACATGGAAGCAAAGACCCCTGGCTATCCTGAACTGATCTCTCCAAGGTACAGACAGACCTACAAACAGACACATGCTGGCAGCCACGAGGATCAAGAGAATCCAGAAAGAAGGAAGGAGTCACAGAAGAGGGGCCATTTGGGTCAACTCTTCAAGAATGAATAACGATTTGTCCATCGGCAAGTAGAGACTAGGGTCCTCTAGGGGCAAGACCACAGAGGTGTAAAGTGACCTGAAGGAAACAGGAAGATTGTGGGTACAGGAGAGGTGGGGAGGGGAGTGGTGAAAGATAAGTAGTCTTATTTTTAAGCACCTTTTATGTCATGGCAATGGACTTGAATTCTATCTTGCAGCATTTCCCAAAGAATATTTCTTGGAACAGGATTCCCCTAAATGTTCATAGGAAGATGTGGAGAAAAGGCCATTGCATTAGATATATCTGAGAATATATCTGAGAACCACCGTGTCCAACAAGTCTAAACTGGATTTTTTTCTACTCCAGAGCTTTTTGCAGCCTTTGTGGATCCCCTGGAGAAGGGAATGGCAATTCACTCCAGTATTCTTGCCTGGAGAATCCCATGGACAGAGGACACTGACTGGCTATGGTCCATGGGATCGCAAAGAGTCGAACACGACTGGGAGTGATTAACGTTTCATTTCATTTCATTATGCTTCTGTGACTTTAAGTGACTTTCTAAGAGGGAGATAGCATGGAGCTGCACTTCCAAGACATTTTGCCATAGAACCCTTGTTTCACAATGTTTTAGGGGGACCTTTCTCAGAACTGATGAAATAAAAAAGTCATCAGCAAGTTTTAAGCAGGAGCAAGATCCAGTCTGATTTACAGGTTGGGAAGCACCCTCTGCAGCCTGGGGAGAGACCAGAGACTGGAGGACCATTTGGGAGGAAGCTGAGCGGATCATCCAGGTGAGAAAGATGAGAGAGTCTAAAACCAAGTTCTGTTCAGTGGAGATGGAGAGAAAATGACTTGAGAGATACTTAGGAAATACAATCAGTATGGCCATTGTGACCAATCAGAGGCTGGGGTACTTCCCAGGGTTCTGGCTTAGGGGATGGGTGGGACCAGTCATTAAAAGAGGAACCAGGCAGTGAGGAGTTGTACACAGGTTGGAGGCAGACAGCCAGCAGAATCAGAGCAGAGATCACAGAAGATCGTGCAGCAGTGGAGGACGCATGGCTTAGACTTCGCTGGTTGGACCTGAAGTCAAATGCCTGGCCTATGACCCTGGGCAAAACTCTGCATCCTGTGGGCCTCTCTTCCCACCACCTAAAAAAAGGGAGATGAAAAATGCTTGCTCTGGAGGGCTTGGGGGAGAGCTCCAGCTCTAGGAATGATCCCTGATTTCAGAACAAGAGAATGAGTATGAGATAGGTGAACAGAGGAGAAAAGGGGAATAGCAAACACAATAATGATAAAAAAACAACAACAAAATCTTAACCATAATCTCTGTAGCTTACTCCTAAAGGTTGAACACTTATTCTGTTGCAGGCACTGCTCTCAGTGCTTTATAAGTATTAGCTCATTTGATCCTTAAAACCCATGAAGTGGGTGATACTACTCTTTTTTCCCCCTCTTTTTCACAGATGAGGAAATAAGAAAGGCTGAATTACTTAAACAAGGCTTCACAGCCAGTATGAATTCCAGGCAGTGAGAAAAAGTTTATGAAAACCAGGGGTGACAGGGAAACTGAAGGTTTGACCAGACTGATTTTTCAAATAGAGAACTTATTTACATAGAGTCAGTGTTACCATTTAGCTAATCAACAAATTTAAAACTTAATATCCCTCTTGTTGGTTGGGTCATTGTAAGAGGAAAGGACTCAAATGTGGTATCAGAGTTATGAGGGAGCCTGCTTGGGATTGGTTTTCTACTTTGGGCTGTTATTCAGCTATATTCCACATGAATAAGTCACTGTAGATTTTAGGTACCACTTCCACTCCAAAGATATTAAGTTGTCTATGACTCAAGGTTTTTATTCAATATGTGGCTGAAATGAAGGCTCCCTCTAGGTTTTTGGCTTGCCCTAATGCTGGGAAAGATAGAAGGCAGGAGGAGAAGGGGATGACAGAGAATGAGGTGGTTGGATGGCATCTCCGACTCAATGGACCTGAGTTTCAGCAAACTCCGGAAGATGGTGAAGGACAGAGAAGCCTGGCGTGCTGCAGTCCATGGGGTCACAGAGTCAGACACAAATGAGAAACTGAACAACAACAAGAACCAAAGTCATCCCGGTGTCCCATTTGTAGGTGTCTATGGTTATATTCCCATAACTCATATATTCCTTCCTGATCACTTTAGTGAAGGGCACATTTGCAAAGGGCCTTCTTAGAATCCTGCTGTCTGCTTCCCACTCAACCAACAACAAATCCCTGTGTGCATTTCCCTGCAGAGTCCTCAAAGACACGTAAGAGACAGTGCAGCCCATAGGGCATCTGAAATTCATTCAGCATGGCTGGTGCGTGGAGTGAGTGGAGAGGAAAGCAGGGGGCAGAGGAGGAAAGACCTTGCACCCATAAAAAAAGGAGTGCAGATATTATTCTAAAGGCCACAAGGAGTCCCGAGGGGCTTTAAAACAGGAGACATGGCCAGGGTTCCATTTTAGAAAGATCCCTCTGTAGTGTGGAGAATGCATTGTACAGATAGCAAACCTGGAGGGAGAGGGACTTCCAGGTTCCAAGAGATGGAGCTGAACTAGGAGGATGGAAAGGTAGAAAGGTATAGATGCACATAAGATATTCAGGCGGTAGAATCAAGGAGACTAGGTGATGGACTGGACATGGGGGTGAGGGCCGGGGGAAAGCACAGGTCAAGGATGATACCCAGATGTTGGGCTTTGGTAATGGGATAGCCACTGCTCTTCACCAAGAGAGGGCCCACAGGAGAAGGAGCAGATTCAAGTGGAGGAAATGATGAGTTGGGTTGAGTTTGTGGTTCTTGTGGGATGCCCTTGGGAAGGTATCTAGTAGGCAGCAGAACCTGTGGGTCTGGAACTCAAGAGAAACATTTTGGCTGGAGACTGACACGTGGAGTCCTTAATATAAAACAGTCATCAAAGGCCAGGACATCGACGAGATGGCTAGGGAAGTGGGAGCAGACAGTGAGAAGAGGCATTAGGCATTGAAGAGGACAGAGAAGAAGAAGGGTCAGCTAAGAGGTTGAGGAGAAGCACCCAGACGGGTAGGGACACTCAGAGCATGCTGCGTCATGGAAGTCAAGAGAAGAGGAGAGGGGAGCCCAACGCCAGGTGCTACTGAGATGTCATGTAAGGACCCAGCCACAAACAGGCTGTTGGCATCCCTGGTTGAGGTGGAGAGGGAAGGGCAGTGGTTAAGGAGTAAAGGAAGGTGGAGAACCATCTCATTTAAGAGGCAGGCTGTGGAAAGGGGGAGAGAACTCAGGGATCCATGCTGGGAGCTGTCATTGGGGATTAAGTCTGTGGGAGGGGAAAGCATCCTGGGGAAGAAGGGGTGCAGCTTGAGAAGAGGACCAAGAGCTGAGTCCTGGGCAATACTCGCATTCAACACACAAGCAGAGGAAGGGCCTGGAAAGAAGCTGAGAAGGAATTGTTGGGGAGATGGGAGGACACTGGGGTGGGAGATGGAAACTGAGTGGAAGAGGGTGAGATCTGCAGGGCCCAGGGCTGGGAGGAGACCACAGCCAGGACCTCTGGGAAAACCTATGACACATGCAGGAAGAGGTGATTAGGTGACCTCAAGAAGGGCATTTCTGGTGGAGTGGTGGGATGCAGGCCAAACCACAGGGGGCTGAACAGTTAGTGGAGGGGATGGAGGTGAGGGATAAAGTGAGGAGAAGGTCAGAGAACACAGAAAGAGACAGAAAGGAGAGACCTGCTGGGAGCGGGGACTGTGATCACAAGACAGAGGCAGGGAGTGATGGTGAAGACCCAAGGATACGAGAGGGTCAAGACACAGAACTCAGCCAGTAGGACCAACCTTGAGGCTTGAGACTGGGGCCAGGGACAGGGGACTAGAAGCTGAGCTCCGTGAGGTTTGGGGGTGCTGAGCAAGGAGGAGGGGGCTCCAGGATGGGCAGGGGCAGTTCAATGAGGAAAGGAACACTTATCTAGGGGGATGGGAATCAAAGAGAGTTCTCAGCTTAGTAAGGCAAAAAGATGAGCAGTGAGGGGATGGAGAGACTGAGGGAAGGGGGCTGTGTGTGCTGGGAGAGGGGGTGTCCAAGGAGATGCTGGGTGTGGGCAGAGGTTA